ATCCCACGTATATGATACGATCTAATCGTCCAGGTCGGAGGAGTGCCTGAAATATTTATTGCACTTTCTTATATAAAACAACTATTAAATAATTAAATTATTAATTACTTTATCAATTATGATCTCTATCGACAAAAAGAGATATTCTAAAAAGATATTAAATAATACTTGATATTGAGAGAAACATTTAACTGAGGGATTAATTAAATTATTTTAATACATCTATAAAGTTTTACAGCTGTTTTTGTATCTTTGATCATAACTGCATAACATAAAGTCACTATTTTTTTTTATTTTTGTGCTAAATTTATTTTTTTGCCTTTTTTATTAACCTTTAGAGGACCAGCATTTTTGTCTTGAAATTTTGAATTTTTTAAATGTAAATTCATGTATATATTGAATTTTTATGTCACGAGGAGTCGACGAGTTTTCCGCTGACCACTATAGTGGCCAGTTCTCTAAAGGTTAACAAAGAGAACTTTCTATCGTAAAAAAGATTGAGCCAGTAATTTTTCAAATTGATTTTATATCGTATTATCTATATCGTATATTCTATTATACTTTTATCAATTATATAAGATAGGAAATATTACTTTGTCAATTTTATCCGGTCGATTAGTAGCCGCTACCAGTGTGACGCTCCCCAAAGCGGTGACACCATCAAGTTCAGTTAGTAACTGGGCTAATACTCGCTCCTGCACGTTACTTCCACTACCACCGGAAGACGAACCTCTTTCACCACCCAGTGCATCTATTTCGTCGATAAATATAATGGATGGTGCTACTTGTCTCGCCTTTCGGAATACTTCTCTTACAGCCTTCTCAGACTCGCCTACCCATTTCGAGAACAGCTCCGGGCCCTACAAATAATTGCACGATATAACAATGGAGACATAAATGAACATTTCGAACGACTTACCTTAATATTCAAAAAGTTAACTTTGCTCTCAGTAGCAAGAGCTTTCGCGATCATGGTTTTCGAACATCCCGGTGGTCCGAACATTAAAACACCTCTAGGAGGTGTAATGCCCATTCTTACGAAAGCTTCAGGATGTTTTAATGGCCATTCGACAGACTGCTTTAATTTTAGTTTCAAGTCTTCTTGCCCACCAATATCCGACCATCTCACATTCGGTACCTCCACTAAAACTTCCTTCATCGCTGAAGGCTTTGTTACGGTCAGAGCATAATGAAAATCGGTCATTGTCACCTTTAATTTATTTGGGTCATCTGGTTCATCTTCGAACGTAGCCTTATTCTTTTGACAGCATTTCACAGCGTTTATTATCGCTCTGGAGCACAAACCATACAGATCTGCACCAACGAAGCCATGAGTAACAAACGATATACTCTGTATATCTTCACACGAAAGCGTATTGGGAATTTTCGAGAGTAACTTCATCAATATTTCCTTACGCATGTCTGGAGTCGGTACATAAATTTCGAAGTCCATGTCCAATCTTCCTGGTCTCCTCAGAGAACTGTCTACGAGATCTGATTTTGCGGTAGTAGCCATTACTAGCACATTGTTGCTAGTATTTTGTAGATCATCAAAAAGTGTTACTAATTGAGTCAGGACTCTCTTCTCGTGGTCTGTACTGGTATTATTTCTCTTAGGACACAGACTGTCCACATCTTCAAATAGTATTATACTGGGAGCGCTCGATATCGCTTTGCTGAACACTTCTTTGAGCTTACCCTCCGTTTCACCAACAGACTTACTGTAAATGTCCGAACTGTATACGGTAAACGTATTAACGTTACATTCTGAGATTATAGCGTTGGCTATCATGGACTTACCAACGCCAGAGGGACCGTACAATAATATCCCTTTACAGATATTAAAGCGTTCGATACTTTTATACTTGCCAATACCTATTGCCACTATGTCCCTTATATCGGATATAAGAGCGTCATATCCACCTATATCTTCAATTTTATGCCTTTCCTTTGCAACATTTTCTTTATCTTTATCCAGAATTGTCCACTTTGTTGTGTAGAGCGCTTTATAGAAGTCTACTTTTGTAGATGTTAGATTCATATCTTTGAAAGGTTTTGATAGATCGTTTACATCCACTGTTTCAGTTGGCTTTCTCTTGCTTTCCTCTGCTTTAATTTGAACAATTTTATATACCAACTTCTTTCCGTAATATGGCACGCTTATCCTATTACCCACAGTAAATATTTTATGTTCATTAAAACATTTTAGAATAATATCCAATTCCACACTTACATCAGACAAACACTTTCCTTGTTGACTAATTACAATTTCCTTAGCGATATGGACAGTGGATGTCAAGGAACATATTTTGATTAATCCTGATAGATTATTTAGATCAATGGCTAAAAATAAGAAGAAACAGGATTATCATTAGCTTAGTTCACCAGTTAAACCTGTTATAAAAATTATAAAATTAAAATTAAACAATTGAAAATAAACACTTACCGTGTTTTGTTAAAGAGACGCTTGTCAAACTTTTATCATTAGTTGGCCAGGCTGTTTTCACAACTACCTCATCTTTCGTTGCAATAACGGTTGGTGATCCAATTGCGATCTCGCACAATTGTAAAGTGAACTGTGATACAAATACCATATCATTAGCGTCCTTCTCAGAAATGCGTTTGGACAATTCTATGAGATACACAATACCGTGAATTAAAGATAGATGTAAATAAAAATTATATTATTATTAATTATGAAAATATCAATAATTACATACCTTGTGTTTGAAATACTTCTATCGTGCTATACAAAACTCCATTAAGGACGAATGGATAGTCCCAATTGTCTGTGGAAGGTGGACAGTTTATCTCATGCACAGAAATATCTTTTTGGGTCAAAGCACATTGACACTTGTCGCACTGCTGCCATGACGACAAGCTCTTTCTTGATTTAGTAGACATTCTGCAAAGAAAGTAATAATTGATCTGTCTTTTAATCTAAAATTGCAGTATTCATCTTAACGTGGAAAGAAAAAAAAAGAAAAAAAAAATAAATAATTATAAGATGTTTAAAACAGATATCTATTGTTAAATAAAGCTGCGGTTCGATTCATGCTCACGACATTTAACCCTTAATACATACGTTAGTTTTTGGCACCCTTAATACACATGTTCGGTCATTCGTGGACTTAATTTTTATCACTTTTATAAGTATATATAAATTATTAAACAATTTTTATTTATATTTTGACATCCTTAGAAAGTAATTGTGCAGTTATATATTCATAACAAATTATAGATAAATTGTTATAACTAAATATAGTTAACAAAATCAGAAAAATACACTGTTTCATATAAAAATATAAAACTCTGAAACAAAAATGTTTAAAGGAAAAGTATGAATAAGTATCTTAAAACTGACATTCCAAACTATAAGAAAAAAAAATAATTCAAGTGTCGGCTGTTCAAAAAGTTTAGTTATTGAGTAACCTGAAAATTATGTTTTTTTAATATGCATGAATGGCTGTAAATTGAAGATATATTGCATTTACATTTTAAAACAATGGATTTTATTATTGTTATTGTGTTAAAAAACTTATAATTTATTAGGAAAATATTCCTTATAACATTACAGACAATAGATATAATATTAGTGACTTTTAGAACAAAGATACTAAAAAACGCATTTAATAAGGGCTATGTTGTTTTAGAATTAAATTCTATTTTCAATAATTCGTGAAATATTCTCGCAATACAACCGAGAATTAGTTAAAAATAAAGAAAAAAAATAAAAATTTTTTTGTTACAGAAAATGTATACTCTGTACACACCTTGGGTGATTTGTCACCCAGAGGTGAACTTTGGATTTATGCCAGTTAAAGGATACGTACGGATTGAGGCCGGTAACGCACAAAACTTGTTCTTTAGATGTCAAACTTTTTTTTAGAAATAGAAAAGAGACCGATATTTGACCAGGTGCTCTTAGTATTTGAAAAAAAAAAGAAATGGGCAGGACACGAATGAGCCAAACGTGTGTATTAAGGGTTAAAAATCATTTCGGTAATTCTCTAGAAGAGTTTACTCACCTCCGATTTCGATGAAATTAGGCTCGATGCGTTTTTGCGTAAAATGAAAGAATTTAGCAGAAAAACGTCCGGGACTGCTCTGCGAAGCGAGATATTGAGCGTTAAAGTTGACAACTATTGAGGTTAGATCATCTTCGATTTCGATGAAATTTGGCTCATTTGACGTGTTTTTACGTAAAATAAAAGAATATGACAGAAAAAAGTCCTGGACTGCTCTACAAATCGAGACTTTAAGCGTTAAAGTTCACTAGTGTTACCACATAACAGGATCATTAATCTGATGTCACGTAGGCAGTGGAGTGTATAGTGGTGTATAGACTATCCTTATTGGTTCGAGGCGGCTATACTCTTCTGAAGAATTACCATCATTTCATTTTTATTATTTGTCAAATATTAAACGAAGACAAATAATATTCGCGAGCGTTGTCAGCAGGAATCAGACCATGATCCAAGAAAACATTTTTTAGAACAATCTATTGAAATATTATATTCGAATATGATTTTAAATTCTTTATCAAACGCTTGAAATATCATTAAATAATTGTTAAAATACACTCATAAAGAGAGAACAAAAACACAAAATAATGTTTTGTTTCTAGCTTGACTGTACCATCATATATATATATAAATATATATATACACATAAATTTTGTAAATTCTGTATTTTTATCTATTTTATAAAAATAAAGATCAATATAATTTCAAATTAAATCCCTTACTTATTTATACATTAACTTATATTAATTTACTTATTTACATATTAGCTGCAAGATTTTAACGAGAAATTTTTAGTTTTTTTAAAAAAATCCTAAAGCGAAGCTTGAACTTCGACGAAAGGTATGGTCAACGAGATGCTACAATCACTTTGAAGCGTTTTTTAATTGATTAATTTGTAAAATTCTTTCTTCTAATTGATCAAACGCTTTAAATTTGTAATGAGACTTTGACTATAGCCGATGTCACTAGGGGTCGCGTCGCGCATCAACACATGTCTTTATTTACTACCATACCAATATCTCACGCAATCTATGATACATGCAGTCGCATATACGTGTCAATTTTCGTATAACAAATTCGTCGCGATCAAGCGTCTAAGTCTAATTCTAAGACTTAACTCGACGTTATTTGTTCGTGCAAACTACGTGTTTGTGGATTACTATTTCGTAAGTACAGGTTGCAAAACTTTCGTATCGAACAAACGTTGTCACGACTTGACAGTTCGAGACGCCATGTTACACTAAGAAATGGTAAAAAAATATATCAATCTTGAAATTTTTGATCGTTCTCGGTATAAACTCCATCTCACAAACACGTATTAATGCGTATACTTTAATCCTGGAAAAGGCTTTTTGAATTTGTGAAAGAGAAAAAAGTATTTGTTATACAAAAATTATATGATTTATGCTCGTTTCCACCAATGTAGATTCAATCAATTTCTGGGCAAAAGGAGTCTTGTCTTCAAGAGGACTGCGATGAAATTTATATTATAAGTTAGATTGATTGCAGAAGGTGAACGGCAACAAATATAATTTTAGTGCAGTTATTCAACTTCAGCATATTATGTAACTTATTACTTGTGCAACGTCAAAATCAATTTGCATTTAAATATCGAATGACATTTTATGTTTATTAAATATTTTCACTAGGAACAATAACATTTTATGTTCATTAAATGTTTTTATGAGAAACTAAAACTCATTTATATTTTGTTTCAAAATTTTTCTTAAAGGTATGGATAAAATTACGAATAGATAAAAATTAGTGGTACATGTGTTATGCTCGGTAAAAAATTTGTGTCGTACACGAATATATACAAATATCTATAAATATTCATAAACATGTAAGAATATTCAAATTCCCATTTGACAGGGATAATTTTCACATTGCTTGTTTTAGAAAAAATCAAATTTGGAAAAATATTAATAAATTGCTCATAATTTTAATATTTATAATTATACGTAATTATGTATATTTTTTTACATCTCTAAAAACTTGATTTCATCTAAAATATGCGGAAATTATCATTTGAAATATATTTGATGTCTTTTCATTATTATTATTATTATTATTATTATTATACAACGAAAAGGAATTTTATAAAAAAAGAATGGACATGAATGATTATTTCAAATATAATTATGTATGTTTATGAACATTTAAGCATATTTAAAAATGTTCGTACATATTTGTATATAATCATGCATGAAAAATTCTTTGCCGAGATGAAAAGGCAATGAAAGTTAATCTTAGGTGAGCGGTTTACCCCCAAAAAGTTGCCTAGAAAATGCATTAATCGACCAATCAATGTTCTACTGGCTGAAAATGATTTAATTTGATTCCTCATTATTTTGCGAAAAAACATATGAATACACTTTAGTTTTTTATAGTCATTGAAATTAGGATAAACAATTTTTTTGGTTAAAAAATCTATACTTTGGATAAAAATTCTGAAAAAATTTTATAAGCTTACTATCAAAGTGGACATTTCTTGTTTCTGACTTTTTTGTTTAAATCAATAGTTATTGAAATAAAAATGTCTAAACTTAAATATAACTACTTTTACGATTTTTTTTCCAATCTTTCCAGTCATCGATTTAATATGAATAAAAAACTAATTAATATTCGGCCAATCTTAAGCTATAACAAAAATTTTATTTTGTTTTGATCTGTTCTGTTATTGACAATGAAAACTTTATTATAACGAAGGCGCGTCCGTGGTGCCTTATATAATAAAATTTTTCATACATATATGTATATTTACTGGGTGTCCCGAAATTTTTTTGACAAGCGCTTTTGTGTAGATAGATCGGACTAGAATGAGTCGAAAAGTCCTGTACTATTTTGCAATTTTCGCACTAATTGACTATTAATGATTAAAAATTGCCGAATACTGGTCTTCGATTTTTTTCTCAAATTCTATCAACTTAACAGAAAAAATGTGAGAGATAGAAATTATTTATTTTCTCCTCGTAGAACTCTAAGAATTTTTTCAGAATTTTTCATTAATTTTTTAGTGCTGCATTTTTTTTTTATATATACAGAGTAATTCTGATTTATATATACAGAGTGAAATTTGAAAACATATGGAAAAATGGTTTATATCAACATTCAGTACAAAGAGGGACATCGCATAATGGAAATAATTATTTTATGAATGTACGCGTTGGGGACATTTCGAGCATTTCAAGGTGGACTTCGTTTTCTTAAATGGAACATCCTACTTTCTATTTCAGTATCTATTAGCTGATGTCGAGAAACATCATAATAAAATTATTTTTTATTGAGTTCTTTTCATTGAGTATTCATCAAAAATGCTTCGAAACATTCGTAGCTTCAAGTGGATCGTAGCCTGAGCCAATCAGAATCAATCCCCACACGTCACATTAGACGCTACACTGAAATGTGAAAATATATTAATCTCACGTAAATCTTTTTTCATTGATTTTTAATGCATAAAACATTCAATATTCAATTTTTAATAATTGATTTTCTGTGTTAATAATAGAAGCAAATAAACTTTTTTTACTTTTTGATGTTTAAAAATAACAATCTGAAATTATAAATGTTTGAATATAAAACATAAGACAAAAATACAAAACAAAGACGTCTAGCAGTAAAAACGTTTAGCTAAAATAAAAACGTTTATCTAAACGTTTATCTAAAATAAAAACGTTTAACAATAAAAAACAATCAAATTATGAATAGTAACATTTTTTGTATATAGACATAGTACACATGTAAACTATTTTATATTTTGTATCGATACTTAAAACAAATAAATCTTTTCGTGATGGCATCATTCGTAAGTTTCGATAAGTTTTTAATTTTTTCCATAAAATTTAATGCAACTTACTACCTATTATAAAAACCATAAAACAATTCGTATGATATTACACTTTAAATGAATTTCTAAAAATACATACGTTAGTTAACCTTGTATATTTAATTAATTAACGACATCAATAAAATGTGTAGCGCTGTTCCTAATAAATATAATTAAATTCAACCGACACATGAAAATAAATACTAAAGAATCTTGTGATATGTAACATTTAATGGAAAATATAAATACTATAATTATTTAAATATAAAAAGGAACTAATAACTGTTCTACATCTAGTTCTTTACACACACACACACACACACACACACACACACACACACACACACACACACACACACACACACACACACACACACACACACACACACACACA